TATATCATCTATGTAGCCGCCATGATTAAATAGTCCAAAGAGAGATTACTTCGCATATACTTGAACTGGCTAGACGCAGGTGGTCAGATATACAGACTTGTAAGATATAGAGACTATTGGGCTGGCTACAACCGGACAAAGAACTTGGGCTTGCTTAGCAGATCAAGGCCAGAGGTATTCAGAATTGTAGCAATCATCTTGGGGCACTGGCCCATAGTCAAACATACGGAAAAAGTAGGTCTACGCCTTATGATTTGCCGCAGCTGTCAACTAGAAGATAGCAAAGAAAGTGTGTAGTAGCACAGAAACCGACCAGTCAGGAGCTACCACAAGTGAGGTCGGTAGATTCGGTAGAGAATCGAAATGGTTCGACCTAGCAGCATAGAATGTGCATTGACAAAATATCCCCCGCGAGAAGTGGATCGAAATTGCGCGGCAATGAGCTCATTGTGTCCTGGGCAGCGTGTAGGAAGCACTGCAACCAACAAACCAATCAAGACTCGGTATTAATCTAAACCATTTCTCAGTGATGAGAGGTCTCGCATGGTGTCGGTTTTCATTTCATCAAATTTCAAATCTCCCTTTAACTTCAAAAAATAAAACCTGTGCACATCTATGTAGAATCCCAGTTCTTTAATTTGACTTCTCATTTTGGAAATTCGAAATAACGGCGGTGACCTTAAAAAAATATATGGCAACTCTAATTAAAAATATTATCAGCCTATAGTTTTCTTAAAACTCTTTCGTTTGACACTAATATTTCGATATTTCATTTATGTACCTTTCGAATAAGTAAAACAAATTCGACTTTTCAAACAGGTGGCAACCCATTTAAAGGTATTTTCAAACTAAAATCTTTCGCCTGGCATTGTTATACATATTTCAATTAACTGATGAATTAACAACTCTCAAACTCGCAAACTCTCCTAAATACAGTTTAGAAATCAATTATTTCCAAACCCATTTCGATTGATATTCATCTTTTTTGACAATCCATTTAACTTATTAAATAATTATAGATTAATTTTTTCAGCAAAAAAAAAAACAAATGTTCTTTTAAAGATTTCTTAACGCTCGTTTTTTGATAACCATATTTTAAAAATTCACGTAAATTTTTTTAATTTAACGAAATACCACTCTCAAAACAGGCGGCAATCCTATTAAAAATTATTTTCGAACTAAAATTTCCTTAAATATTTTTCTTCTAACATTGTTATAAATATTTCAAGTAACTGATGAATTAAGTGGAAATTTATTTTTTAAACACGTGGCGACCCTCCTAAATATAGTTCTTAAATAAATGATTTTAAACCCATTTTCACTGATAACCATCGGTTAGTAACTCATTTAACTTATTAAATCATTATAGTTTAGCCCTTTGAACTGGGGCAACCCTCAAACATATCAAAAATATTCAAAATTGTCCAACTAATTTGGGGTATTAACAATGGTGTAAGTGTCGTATTGTTGTATGTCGTAAACTTTAAATGCCTAAAAAATATATTAAGGGGGTTCGAAAAGTACCATCAAAGTCATATTTTGAATTTTCGCAGTGTTAAAAATAGTTGGTTGTGGTTTCAAGTTATCTAAACATTTATTTATGCTTTTAAAGTTTACGACATACAACAACACGACACTTACGACACCGTTGTGAATCCCCCCAATATTTTCATGAAGCTCTTTCATTTGACATCCATCGTTAATATTTCATATAACTTGGGTATAAAATAGTTCAATTCGACTTTTCAAATAGGTGGCAACCCAATTGAATATTTCCAAACTACTATTTTCTTAAATCTCTTTTGTATGACACCCATATAGCGATACCTTATTCACTTACCAAATTCCTTTAACTAAAGTTGAATTAAATTTTTTTAACATGTACGTAGTTAAGTTATAAAGCCTTTTCAAACCCATTTCGATTGATACCCATATTTAATAATTAATTTAACTTTGTAATTAATTTGAGCTTGATTTCCTAACAGGTGGCAACTTTTTTCGAAAAAGTAAAACCTTCTTGAACATCCACACCCTAATCTGAGGGCATTGATTAGTAAATAATTTGAGTTTAATTATTTAACAGGTGGCAACTCCTTTCGAAAAAATAAAACCAGTTTGCACATGTACAGGCCATAAGGCTTTAATTTTACACCCCATTTTTGAAAATCGGACGAACGGTGCAGATCTTTTATGCTGCACAAAAAATGGGCCGAAAATCCGCTTTTTTAGAATTTTGATTGGTAATAGCAAAAATATGGTTCATTATGCTTTGAAAAAAATCTATGTGAAATTTGGAATTTGTTGGGCTCGCCCAACTCCATCAAAGTTCAATATGCGTAAAAAATAAAAATTAATAAAGAAATTAATTAATATATTTTTTTACTAAAATTGCAATAATCTTCGAAAGTATTAGTCTACAATGTATTAGTGTACAATGTCTATATGTATCTAGGTCCTGGCAGCTTTTAAAATTTGATCGAAAATATTGAAACACTTTTGGGGTCAAATAAGCTTTAAGAAGTATGCTTGAAATAAATTACACTGGTCTACAAATTTCAACTTTTTTTCTGCGAATAAGACGGGACCTGGTGTTTCTGAACGGATTTTTCGTGCTGAACACGAATCCGGGGTCAAAAATGTCCCATCACGTCACGTTTTCGAGAAAAAAGGGGTTGAAACCCCTAAAAACAGCGTTTTTGGCCATTTTCGAAAAATTATAGAGCTGAACCCTGACGTGGTACAAATTTTGCATATATCAGAAATTAAAGGCTAAACCGTGCCCTTTCGAATGAGCCCTATGCCGAATTGATCGCGTGCACCCTTAAAGCAGGGGGTGTATTTGTGTTTAGGGGTGCAGGAAAAATTGATCACAGAAAGAATTTAATCTTAAACGATCATAGAAAATTAATAATGCCAAGGTTTTAACTATATTAAAAGTCGCTGATTACGAATCTGCAGTTAGATTTTAAAAATTTAAGATGACGGGTCGAATATGGTGGATATAAAAATTGGACTCCTAGACACAAATACACCCCCTGATCTAAGGGTGCATGCGATTAATTCGGCATAGGGCTCATTCGAAAGGGCACGATTTAGCCTTTAATTTCTGACATATACAAAGTTTGTAGCACGTCAGGGTTCAGCTCTACAATTTTTCAAAAATGGCCAAAAACGCTGTTTTTAGGGGTTTCAACCCCTTTTTTCTCGAAAACGTGACGTGATGGGAAGTTTTGGACCCCAGATTCGTGTTCAGCACGAAAAATCCGTTCGGAAACACCAGGTCCCGTCTTATTCGCAAAACCCTTGTAGACCAGTGTTATTTATGTATAATGAGCTGACTGCATTCGTTTTTCAGTAAAGTAATTACTAGCCGCATACATAGCTCTGCGGCTGCGGAGCGTATATTTTCAGATTTAAAAAGAAAAATAGAATTTCATTACAAACTGTTGAGGATATAAAATCTCCACCATGGTCAAAATCATGATACAAAAAAAGAAGGTATTTCATTGTCACTTTTCGGGCACCATATTAACTACCTGACAATTAAGCAGATTGTGACATTTCGTGCTACCATACCTAATCCTCAATAATCATTTATTTAGTGTAAAAAAAAGTATATTTAGAAAATTAAAAGGAAATTTGTCTTCGATCTGAGCAATGACGAAAATTGAAATTCATACATCGCCATATTTGAAAAACAACCAACTGACTTTTTCTTTGAAATAAAAGACCGGTAAATATGTTGTCCACCTAAAAAATTAGCTATAATTAAAGTAGTTTCTTCTAGAGCCAGTCACCGAAAAGGATATGGATGTGTTTGGTATCCTGAGTTACTTCTGAATACTTCACTTCGGGAGAATTCTGAATTGTTACTCGTTTAATTGTGAGGCAATGAGCCCATACAACCTTCTCCGAAGCCTGTTTCGGACTATGCTTTAATGACGAAATATCTATCAATACATCTTCTTCGGACTATTGAAAAAGAGAGTTTTGTTATGTAAATTTATTTATTTCGTTTAAAATAAATAGAAAAAAAAGGTTTTTAATAAATAAACGTTTCAAAACTGGATTTTATTTTATTACTTCATTTCTGCACATCGATATTAAGGATCTTTAAAACGATATTTTTTGTATGTAAATTTTACTCTTTTATTAAATCCCAAATATTTAAAAGAAAATCTCCCCTCTCAAAAAATTTCGATGTGGCAAAGCTATGCTTAATGTTGGCGTCTGGAGAAATGTCAAAAATCTGCTTTATAGTCAAAAAATAGTAGTAATGAAACTAAATTCTTTTTTGAATCATGGTCAAAATTACATAATTTCAAACGAGTTTAACATCGAGTGTGTCACATATGTAATTTGATAATTAACCTACATGATCGACAGTTAAAGTTTTAAGTACATATGCATATTTGTATTTAAGTTTCTGTGAATTCTATACATACATACTATTTTTTCGCCTTTATACAATAATAAAAAGCAGTGGTAAAAACCAAATAGCATTTTTTAACAGTTTTATCTAACTTGATAATTAGACATTTTAACAAAAAATAAAAGATACATTTGATACATTTTTGGTTTTTTTTTACGATACATTTTTTCACGACCTCGCGGCAACACTGTCCGTATCAATGTAGACAAATGCACAAATCTCTACACACCGAGATGCCATTAAGGGGAAAAGAGGTTATATTTAATTAATATTTATATTTTTATTGAGTGACAATGTGGGAGGAATTTTGGGGTAGATATTCGGCCACATATGTACGTATGCGAGCGAGCAAGTGCGCGTGGTGTGTGCTCATGGGGGATGCACCGTCACTGTTAACAATGCCATTGTAAATACTCAATTTAAGAGAAGCGAAGTCAATACAATGGTAAGAGAGTGCACCTGGCTGGCTGGCTGGCTGGCTGGCTGGCTGAGAATGGTAACAAAAATCGATTCCTTGAAGCTCGTTAACAAACCTTTATGAAGCGATTCGAATGGCATAGCACACAATCAGTACAAGGCAGACTAGCTGTGCCAGTAGATTTTAGCTACTCGCTGCTAAAAGCCAAAACCCAAAGCAACTCGACTGACTCGTGTGAAGCAAGAAAATCGAACCGCACGATGAACGGCCGAGGATGATGACCCACTTTTCAAAATTTTCGCATTAAGAAACAGCAAAAATTACGATTGAGTTCGAATAAAATTAGTGTTTAAAAAGATGTGCAAATATTTACAAACGTGCATTCAAAAAAGTGAATAAAGCAACACAGAATTAGTAATTAAAAGCAGTTAAATAAGCGAATGACAGTCGTGGAAAAAGATCGAAAGCAGCGAAAGGGAGGAAGGTGACGAGAGTGTAGCCACGAGCATAGGAAAATTCATTGGCAGAAAAATTCGCTCTATATTATAAAACACCCCGCAACTCCGCACTGTGCACGAGTAGGCGTAGCAGCAGCAAAGCTGAGCAGCGCCAATGGAGCTCCAGCGGATCGCTAGCAGAGACTATACAGAAAACTGCTGGCACGAAGTTGTGTAAAAATCGTTCGCAAGCTGGACTGCTTGGTTGCGCGAGTGAAAATGTGCTAAAAAATTGTGTGTTTCTAGAAAAACGGTTGAATAAAAATGCTAGAAATATTAAGAAATAATTAGATAGCAAAAAAGTGTAGAATGTAGCGAAAATCCATAAAATGGTCGCGTAATAAAGTTACAAATTCGTTTTTTTTTTCTATGGTACACACAAAGCGAGCGAGTTGGCGAGAAAAGTAGAGCAAAAGTTGGTGAAAATAGATATGTACATATATGAATTATGAAAAGAAAATGTATTTTTTGCGAACAAAGTAACACATATACATAGATACATAGTACATACGTATATCCATTGAAATGCATTTATGAAAATAACTAAATTCCTCCGAAATGCAAACGTAAATTAAAAAAATAAAATACATATATACATCATACATATATCATAAATAGCAACTATACCTATTAAAATAGCAAACAAATACATCTGTATGTTTCCGAAATTTACTAATAGATCTAATCAACATGCGCACATGCACATGTACATACATATAAGCAGATAATGGAATTTTAATATAAATAACCAAAAATATTCATAAATCACAAGTCCTGAAAAAAATTGATTCTACCGATTGTAAAAAGGGAAATTGCAACCACTGAAATTATTAATAAACGAAGGGAAGTTAAACTTTCCAAACGCCAAACCAAAAAAAGCATATCGATACGAAAAGTGGTAGGAAGTGGAAGTTAAGGGTCAGCAGATGGCAGTTGGCAGTTTTGGCCAGCGAATTCAAAAAATTGCACGCACGCATACCGATACAAACGTACACACACACATTGTGACATCCATACGCACGTACGCTCCCCGAGACAGTGAAAATACATACATACAAATGTACATACACGCGTGTGAGCTGGCGACGCACAGCTGGATGAACACGGCGTAAACGACGGCAACGGGGATTTGGCTGCTTGAGTTGACGTTCGCACGCTAACATATTTACACATTCACACGCTCCAAGGCACCATATAAATATACAGACATACGTATGTACGCACGTACGTATTTGTAGGCGCGCGCTCGTGTACACTCGGCTGCACTGCTATTCTTCTGCTGGTTCACTGCATCTGTGGGCCGTGTGACTGGCGACTCGCGTAAAGGCTTCGAATACATACGCCGAGTGGCGGGCGGCAGTGGCAGCAATAAAAACAATAGCAGTGGCATTTACGGCAGCAACACCAAAAACAACTACTAAAGTGTCAGGATCTACAGCAACAACAGCAGCAGCCTGGCAAACTAAATCACGAGTAGCGGAAAAAATCCAAAATATCAACAAAAACAACACGTACATTTCAAGCAAAATTTAATAACCGCGAAATCGTAAAAATGTAAGTACATACATACATATACGAGAACATAAAAAATGCAAATCGTATTATTACTGAATAAGTATGGTTACTCTTTTGGCAAATCTCTTAACGCGGTGCCATCGCCACGCACACATCTCACAATTTTTTTTTTCAACATTTTGTGTGTTTTTTTTTTATTACTGTGACAAATGTCGTCGGTCGCGTGTTAGTTTTTGTAAGGCATTGAGTGCCGCAAGCGAATTGTCCTCATCCCCTTGAAAAAGTGTTGCAGCAAAAAATATATGTAGATTGAAATAGAAGAGAGAAGTGAGAAAAAAAAACAACAATCAGAATAATAAAAAATATAAAACTTTACTCTGGCAAGCGTGCATATCTAAACATAGATATGCAGTCATACATAAATACATACATTTTTATCTACCCTTGCGCTCATTCCAATGCACAATAGCATTAACATACTTCTGTGTACAATATGCATGTATGCATGACTCGCTATGTGCCAGTATCTATATTCATGTGTATGTATGTACCTTGTGTGCCTAAAAGCTTACAAATCGTGGCAAGCATTCTGCGTTGGCCTTTCTGATAAGGGAGCGCACCACCCAGCACTGAGCACAGCTGAAAAGCACACAAACATCAATACACACACGCACACACCTACACTCATCCACACGCGCGTGCTTCAAAGTGGTGGCACACTTTATGATTAACTGTGCTATTTGGGGTAGATGATGGCGGTTCGCTCTCAACTTGGTGCGCTCACATTGCTCATACGCCGTGTACTCATTGTTACTCGCTGCGCTAACTCGTTGTTTGCGTAAGCGGGAATTTAATTTGACATTTCATGAGCGCGTGCGAGAGATACATCGGCTATGAATGGCTGTGGGAACGAGAGGTTTGAGGAGGTAGGTAAGTTAGATACATAGAGCTTTGAACAGCATACATACATGCATACAAATATTGAGGCAAAAGTGTGCCAGCGAGTTAAAACGGTCATTGTGGAGTAAAATAAGATTTTTCTACGATGGTCTTGAGTGTGTCTCCTCTACTTTGTGTATGCGATTGTGTGTTGGGATACGGTGTGATTTCATTTCTATGAGCTTATAGGTTCTTTTTACATAGTTTTATTGTTGTTGGTTGCATTTTTATGATTGGATTGCACATTTTTTGTCTTCATCGAGGATTTTTTCCTTTGCAAAGTTTATCGATATTCTAGTGGTGCCTTTAAAAAACAGAAAAATCGGTATTTTTACCATTATGCACAAAAAAATATTGATTACATTTACATAGCATATGGAAGCCTACATTTTAAAATTATACCTATGTGCATTATACCTGCACTGTTTTACGAGTCGTGCTAATTTGTTGTTCTTCAGACGGGCTACATCTTCCAATGAGAAGAAGAACGCAGAGCCTAGAGAGATCAATGGCGATCTGCGAATTGGTGGGTAGTAGGGTGTTCGAGTTGTTCGAAAAATTGCTATTCAAAATTGCTATTTGAAAAAATGTGTTCCCGATTCTGAAATTAACAAAAAAAAAAAAAACGGATAAAGCGGTTTTATTTTACATTGATTTCATATAGCGAAAATGCTTATGTTGGCACGAAGCCATGCCCAAAAATTACAATAAACTATTAAAAGTAAAGATATCTTTCATCTAGAAAAGAGCAGAGCAAAATAAGTTGATTTTTTTTTAGTAAAGTAAAATAAATTAAAATTAGTGAAAAATTCACGTTTGGTATTTTTCAGAGGTGGAGTAAAAGTATAGATCTCTCCATTTGTGTCGCAACATCAAAAAGCAGAACACGAATTGGAGGAGAATCTCGGCTATACTGTTCTCCCCAAATAACATAGAATATAATTTTAAAATTATTTAGGGGTTTCCCTTGAACTGAAAAAACCTTGAGAACTTCGAAAAGTTCAAAACTTTTACTCAGAGGTCAAGATTTGCGTGAAATGAAAAAAACCGGTGAAAAATCAACATTTCAAAAAATCCGCCTAAAAATATTAAAAAAACTGTTGGAACCCGGGTTGGAAAAACGGAGGCAATCACCCTAGCGGATGGTGACAATAAAGCGTTTGAAGTGCCTTTGGCACTGTCTTCATCGCATGCTAGACTTGCTTGACCCTGTACTAGCCTTAGATATGCATAACAACCGTAAGGGGGTGTCCCGTAATTACCCTAATCTCACTTTCGATTGGCTTCACATTTATTATGGGTTCTATAGATGAAGAAAGGTAACACGTATTCGACGATTTTTTTTTCTTTTATTTATTCAGAGATTTGTTCTGTCAAAGCTTGGATTTTTTCGTAATTCTGACCAATCATGTACTTCTTCAAATCCTTATATCTCGGGTTATGCTTATCGCAGAGACTTAACACCCAAAACATCAGTATGTACAAAGTACAGTTTAATTTTTGTTTTTCATTCATTTTATTTCAAGGATTGAAAAATTATAATGGGCAATCAAGGGTTGTTGATATTCTAATGAAATTATTATTAATTGAAATTATGAGTTAATAAAAACCTAATCTGTTTTTATATTATTATTTTTAAACATTTTTTAGTTCGGCGAATAATAAAAACGCCCAAGAAATTATCAAGAAAAATTTGTTGAAATTTGCTACGTTTACTATTATGGTTTTCTATAGTTTTTTTGTGAAGAGTACAACGTACCCTTGTTTTCAACAGAAATATATGCCCCTTCCATTTTTCGTAAAGAAAAAGTAAGAGCAGGCTTTAAAATATCAGATGTCAAAACTCCTTGGACTACTATTCACATATACGAAATAATAAAAATTTATTTCTCGGCCATTTTCTTAAAAGGTTCGTACTTAAAATTAAAATTAAGCTGGTAAACCCTGAATAAGCAAAATAAGTAGTTCCAAGAAAAGCTAAAAATTTTCGGCCCTGTTCATCACCTTTGTGAGAAAATTCCTCACCGGCTCGTGTCCCTTTTTTACACTGAATATGCATAACTTAAACATTATTTTTTATGAAGTTGAAGCTGTCTGACAGAAGATGATGCTCATCAGAAAGATTTTTTGACAAGATGTGCATATATTTTTAACCGACTTCAAATAAAGAGGCAGGTGCTAAGTTGGTCCGCATAACTTTGGACCACGTAAATCGGTTCCTATAATCATTTTTTGAAGGATAAGTGGCACCTCAGAGGGGATGCCATATTAATTTGGTTGAGATCCGATTATTCGATCATGCAGAAATTAACGGTATTCCATAGTTCAATTTGATTAATTTAATTTAAATTGAATTGGTTTTTTTTTGTTTAAAAATTACTTGATATTAAAAAAGTGCAGACAATTATCTTCGTTGAAACCGCCGCAAGTATACATAATATATTTTTTTGGAGCGAATTGGGTAATGCGAATTGAAAATAGGGTTTTTCCTAAGGGAAAAAATTAAAAAAATAACACGTTTTTTGTAAATTTTTTCATTTATATTTAAGCTTGCTCTTTTATAAAACAAAATCAACCCACTAACGAAGAAAATCGACGGTTCAATAAAAAAGTTATGGATGGCAAATTGAAAATGCGTAATGATTTTTTTTGCTGAAGTATGAGCACGAAAAAATGTTACTCATACGCCATGTACATGGCCATACTCGTCATGGCGTATGAGAAACATTTTCCAAGTTAATGTCAGCATTTTTTTCATGCACTATGCAAACTTAAAATGAAAATATATTGGGAAAATTACTTGATTTAGAAAAATGGTATACATATCCGTAATGTACGATATAAAAGGAAGTTTACGTGCCTCAGCGGTTTTGTGTTATTTGACCATAACTTCAAAATAGTTGTTCCAGATGAAAACGCTATATGTACATATATCGTCACCTGAAATGCATAATCCGTAACTAACAACAAATTTGTTTTACATAAAACGATGTGGGGACTTGTAATTCGATAAAATGCATCATAACCAGTGTTGCCGCGCCGTCTCAAGAAAATGTATCCCTGACCAAGCCAAAAATGTATCCAAATGTATCCAATTTTCTTATTTTACATATACATCTCATAATTTGTAAGAAAACCAAACATTTTCATGAAAAAGACATAATTTAACCCATCCTAAGGACTTGGAATACATGTGCATAAAATCAAACATTTGTAATTTCAATTTATAAAGTACATTTTTTGTGCATAAGTATTTGGCAAAGTAAATATAATAAATAGCAAGTACACTCTAAAAAGAGCATGTTAAACTACTTCTGAAAAGTATTTATTTTTCAACAAGAATCTATATAAATATACGTATACGATGTTCAGTATTTGATTTTGAACTTGAGATCTTTAAAATATACACATAAATACACATATATAGAATGTTTAAAATTGCAAAAATGTTCAAACTACAAATAGATTTCCTACTAATAATAAAAATTACTTTATTTTAAACATTTTATGTGTAAACAGGCAATGATTAATTTTATTACACGGCGTGCAAATTTGCACACATTAAAAGGGGAATCTGGTTACCTCTCTCAATATGCGCAAATAAACAAAATTTTTTCGGTAAAATTCATAAGTTTCCTTAAATAAATCAAATTTAGTTTTTTAAACTACATTGAAATCTTCTTTCTTTTTAAATTAACAAATGAAAATATGTGATATGAAAGAGATTACTACAGAAAGAGTATAATTTACTTTATATATATCGTCGTTTAAAGTACAAAACCGCGTATCGTCATTCTGCAAAACCGCCTAACTGACGTTTGCTGCCAAAAATTGGATTTGCTCAACAAGCTCTTGGCTCAATCCTTATCCATTCGTCCTGAAATATACTAGCCAGAAGTGCGATTGCTTTATAAAAAAGAGAACCATTTTGAAATATAAGTGTTTTTACTCTCTAGAAAATAATTTATGCAACGTCACATACGAGGTTTTGCATTATCTTGATACGCGGTTATGCATTTTGTTGATACGCGGTTTTGTACCTTAAACGACGATATGTTTATTAAGATCTTGCTTAAAGCACCATTTTAAGCTAGTAAAAG